CATTGTCACCCAGGCTGTAGTGCAGTGGCACGATCTTGGCTCATTGCAATCTCTGCCTCCTGGGTTCAAGTAATTCTCCTGCCTCAGCCTCCCAAGTAGCTGGGACTACAGGCGTGTGCCACCACACCCAGCTAATTTTTTTGTATTTTTAGTAGAGACGGGCTTCACCATGTTGGCCAGGATGGTCTCGATCTCCTGACCTTGTGATTCCCCTGCCTCAGCCTCCCAAAGTGCTGGGATTACAGGCGTGAGCCACTGCGCCCAGCCCATACCTTCAATTCTTAAATTTCAGCATTCAGGGCTGGGCACGGTGGCTCACGTCTGTAATCTCAGCACTTTGGGAGGCAGAGGCGGGCGGATCACCTGAGGTCACGAGTTCGAAACTAGCCTGGGCAAAACGGTGAAACCCTGTCTCTACTAAAATGCAAAAAATTAGCTGGACACAGTGGTGGACACCTGTAATCCTAGCTACTCGGGAGGCTGAGGCAGGAGAATCACTTGAACACAGGAGGTGGAGATTGCAGTGAGCCTAGATCGTGCCACTGTACTCCAGCCTGGGCAACAGAATAAGACTCTCCATCTCAAAAAAAAAAAAAATTTTTTTTTCAGTAATTCAATCATTTGTATGATTTTTGCTATATTAATCCTTGCCAATTTTAAACCAACATTTTAAATCTAAATTCATGTATTTTACTTTTATTTATTTATTTATTTATTTGAGATGGGGTTTCTCCATGTTGGTCAGGCTGGTCTTGAACTCCTGACCTCACGTGATCCACCCACTTCAGCCCCCCAAAGCGCTGGGATTATAGGCGTGAGCCACATTTTACTTTATTTTTAACTTAAACTGCGTATACTTATATTTTCCAATACATTAAAAATATATAATTATTACAAATGCTCGCCCATGTAATACCTAAAATTATCTCATGCTCCAGGAGTGGAAGAGGGGTTACACTTTGAAAAACATGACTAGATGCAAAATTTGATTATTTGTCTTGATGGCTTAAAAACATTAAACATATATGAGAAAATGAATTCCTGTCTTTTTAAAAATAATTAAGTCTCTCCATGAGTTACACCACTGATAGAATTTTAAGAGCATCTGAGTATTTGGACTTCCCATTTTAGAATGATTACATTAAATATAACCTGAAAATATTTCACGTAGCTAAAAGTTAAAAATTTTAAGCTTTTAGTGCTGTTAAAACCAAATGCTGTTTTAAAAAAATCCAGAAACTGAACTTTGTCATATAAAATGGGCTTAGCTAAATAAAACAATATAAATGCCTTTTTTACAAAGTCATGGGGCCAGGTGCTGTGGTTCATGGCTGTAATCCCAGCACTCTGGGAGGCCAATGTGGGCAGATCACTTGAGGTTAGGAGTTCAAGACCAGCCTGGCCAACATGGTAAAACCCCCAGCTCTACTAAAAATAAAAAAATTAGCCAGGCTTGGTGGTGAGTGCCTATGATTCCAGCTACTCCGGAGGCTGAAGCAGGAGAATTGCATGAACCCAGGAGGTAGAGGTTGCAGTGAGCTGAGATCACACCACTGCTCCCAGCCTGAGTGACAGAGCAAGAAGACTCCATCTCAAAAAAAAAAAAAAATTGTCCAGTGCATCAATTTATTCAACTAATGTTTAACCAGTACCTACATGCATTCCACCCTGCTAATTACTGGAAATGCAAAGACAGATACAATGTATCTAAAATTTGGAATGTGTCTGTGTAAGAATTTAAAGCATAAGGAAATGCCCCTAAATATAATAACTGGTTGAATTAAAACTGTTCAGCTCTCAGTTACTTGAAAACTGGTAAAAAGATGTAACTTTGGCCACAACCTCTAGTAAAATTTAGAGACTTATTTCTCTTTATAGTCTTGGTTTAAAAAGCATAGTACACTACCTCAAGTATGCCCTAAGCATTCATATTTGTTTGTAGAATAAATATGTTATGGTCCATTTCTCATCAGTCTATCTCTGTAATGCAGTTCTTTTATTTTAAATGTCTAAAACACATGTTTTTTTGATAGGGGAGGAAACACTGAATTATTCACAACACAGATGAAAATATTTTTCATCCACCTATATCCACCCTTCTTAAAGCATGCCTTCAAACCCCCATTTGCATGGCTCCTTTGCTAACTTTTAGCCATTTCCTCTTGTAAATGTACTGGCCTCTTTGTCTGAAGGCATCTGTCTCAATCAACATTTCATTTCTTACTGGAGCAAGGGCAGGGAGCTTTCCAGTTCATTCAACCTTAAGTGAAGGAAGAGGCCCCCTCACAGCTACTATTTTAGCCTTCTGGTACCCTTAGCAGAGTCTGCTACCCCAGAGCTGCAGAGTCTACCTAGGTTGGGTGATAGTTGTTTACCAGGGTTCAGCATCAATCTCAACTGAGCTTCTATACAGCAAGTGGCCTCTCAAATGCCTTAATGGTTTCTGGTTACACCTGGGGAAACAAGGTCCTTAATCCCCTAAAAGAATACTTTTATACTGAGAGTTATTTTTTCCATGTAAAATAAATCACTCATTTAATTAGTTTTATAAAAGACAAAGTATTTATAAAAGAAAAATTATTATAAATAAATAATAAAACTCATAATGAAATTGAATATTTATTTGAATTTCTCCTGGTAATAGCACTCAACAAATAAGAGAAACCAAGCTGCGAGATTTTGTTTTGAATGTAGCCATTTTCAAAAGGTAAAAAGTTGGTTTCTATAATTAATGGCAAGTGGGACATCTTCTGTTTTAAAATTAACATTCAAAAAGTAGTAAAATATACACTATCATGAACATGATGTGTTTTATAGAGTGGATACATGTCTGAATGCCAATCTGAATGTGGAAGAAATATATATCTGTTAAAAACCACACTGGAAAAATGTTCTTTTTTTTTTTTTTTTTTTTTTTTTTTTTT